GATATGACACTCCCCATTTTTTGGCAAATTTGGAACTTCGGCTTCTATAGATAGAGATAAAACGGCTGCTACAAACATAGATATCGCTCCAAAAAATGTACCAACTGCTACACGCCGTAGAGGAGTAACAGTGATGTGACATTTTGAACGTAAAAACAACACAATTAAATAAATTAATGGAGTGGCGATAACTGCTAATACATAATTCAGGAACAGCATTCTTTTAGGTTGAAAAACTTTATATCCTTTCTCAATGCGCATAAATAGTGCTTGTGTACTCCAATTAGTCATAGTTATAATAACAGTGGCCATGTAAAATTGAAGAACCATGAAAATCGACATCAGTTTCAATGTATTTTTTGTTTGTCTTACAAATGATTCTGCATACGATTTTTTAGAATAGTCCAACCAGTGCTCTTGCCTTTCTTTTGAAACAATTTTTCCTTTAATCCCGTTCTAAAACAAACCTTACAATACTTGGGTTTGAAAATGCCCAAGAAGGTCCTTACCATCAAACATAACACCCAAAGAATAGTGTTGTACTTTTCTGTTTTTTCGTAGACATACCAGCGTTTTGCGGAGACAAATACAACTTAAAATCAATAATTTTAGTAAATTGTAACGCAAAATGAGACATTTGGTACTTAAGCAAAAAGTGAGGCTAACGGTGGATACTAGAAATGCAGCGGGGTAACAACTATTAGCTCCAAGACAATGAATAACTGTAAGATAAGGTGCCTCATAAATGCCAATTGCACCTCCTGTATTGGTAGCAGCGTAAAGAAGTAAAAAGTAAACCTCCAAGTGCTTGTGTTGTTCTGGTAACTTAAATTGGCTTCCTCCGAAAGCCATAATGCATGGTTTAATTGCACCTGTACCCATGGCAATCAATCCAAGGGCGAAGAGACAAAGGGGTATCGAAATGTCCTCTGAATATTGGACAACTGATCCTGTCATCATTATTGTTCCAATGAGGTATATAATTAAGAAAAGGACAATTGCATAGAATCTTCCTATAAAGCAGTCGGCAAATAATGCTCCGAGTAAAGGACAACAGAAATTAAAGCTTCGAAAGCCGTTATACATAAGTGTTGCCTCGTCTTTGCTATACTTTACGATATTTTCAAAGTAGGATAACAAAGCCGCTGAAAGAAGAAGTTAAAATGGCTACTTGCGATTACTTGTGATTTACTTCGCAGTCCTACCAAACAGAGTTTTTTGAAGATTGCCATTATGAAAACCGCAGCAATTTGCTTCGGATATTTGGGTTTCTAAAAGCAAAAGAAATGCAAATTAAAACCATTTTAAAAAAAGTTTATTTACAAAAAACGAGAAGTTTTGCTACTTACCTCTTCAACATCATTCATGTTGCTTGAGAAAATAAGTAATTAATATTCTAGCAATTGTAAATAAATGTCACGACTGACACAATTTGACAGAAATATTTGTTGGTTTGAAGGCACATACACATTACACAATAATGCGGCATATACAGGATGATTTTAAGGTATTGCAAATATGTTAACAGGTGATAGTAGAGCTCAAAAAAAGTCAAAATAATTCAACAAATCTGACAAATCTGCAAAATAAAAATTCAGAATAGATTAATAGTTTTTGCAAATAGTCAACTTTTAGTTCAAAAACTTTACGGGCTGTGCCAATACGTAAAAAGCCTGTATTTACTTTCACAGATCGAAAGTATTTGTAGTAATATGCAATTTGTGTAGTAAATTTGGAACATTTCTCGATTACAATTAAGATACATAATTATTGTTAAACTTATTTTTTTTTTTCAGAAAAGTCAATAACTAATTATTTTTTTTTAATCTAGGACAAATGTGTTCTTATGAAATAATATTATTACTTTTAGAAGACTCTCAATTTGATTTACTATCGTTTTGATGAGAGCACCTTCATTGGCCGAACACATGTAGACAATAAGCTTTGTTAATTGTTGGTAAGCTATATTGGAATTAAATTCAAGTTTGTAGGCTTTCACTGTATATTAAATAAAAACAAGCTGTACAGATAAATGTTAAAGACATAAATAAATTTACTGTCCTACTCGTCATTACTTTCGGTATCTTCAGTTATTATATCTTCTTTTTTACCATATTGTTGATCGACATATTTATATCTAACTGCTAACAGAATGAAGATTAGTGTAAACAGCATCGTTAATCCACCAAATGTAAAAAAGAAGTGTGACTAAAAGTTTAAATTATAAACAGTGACAGTTTTTTTAAAATGGAAGAAAACCTGTTTAAAATGGATCAGTTCTATTATTATATGTATAATTCCTCCTACTCCTGATGTCAATAATGAAATTGCAATGATGGTACATTTCAGCGATTTAAAAGGCGTTTGTGTATATGCAAATTCTAAAACTGCTGGTATCACTAGAACCCTGCTTATGGCGTGGATCATGTACTGAGGAATTTGCCACAAAATATGTAATTGATGTGGTTTTCCAACTTCGTGAACTTCCAACTTCTAAAATTCATAAAATCATTCATTTCTGTTTACATTTTACCAAATGAATCTATTATTACCTTGGATTTACTATTGTCGAAATACAGTAGAACTCTATAAATTCCACCACGAAAAAACCTTGCTGCTTTTTCAATRCCCCCAATGTTGTAAACACCACTAGTAACTTTATAAACAGAATAATCTTGAGGACCGATTTCAGTGACATGATCATGATCACAAATATATTTTATTTTTTCATCTGTCTTCCCTAAATTTCCAACTAAACTTCTTATTTTTGCATCTCCATAGTAATCTTTCTCCAAATCTTCTTTGAAGCCTTGTAGACCATTTGTTGTAAAAAAATAACCTACACTTATTTTTTCTTTAACAACAAATGGGCCGGTAGTGTTAGAAATCGTTTTGTCACATCCAGAAATCGTATGCTGTATTTTCTTGGTACCTTCTACTTTAACTGAGAGGAATTGGTAGCCCATTGGATCAATTTGCACTTGGTTAATGAATGGAGGAGCGTCTATTTTAACTAAACAATTGAGTGGGTTGTAAAATCTGATATGACACTCCCCATTTTTTGGCAAATTTGGAACTTCGGCTTCTATAGATAGAGATAAAACGGCTGCTACAAACATAGATATCGCTCCAAAAACTGTACCAACTGCTACACGCCGTAGAGGAGTAACATTGATGTTAAATTTTGAACGTAAAAACCACATAATTAAATAAGTTATCGGAGTGGCGGCGATTGCTAACATATAATTCAGGAACAGCATTGTTATAGGTTGAAAAACTGTATCTCCTTGTTCATTACGCATAAAGCGTGCTTGTGTTTTCCAATCAGTTACAACTACCATAATAGTGGCCATATAACATTGAAGTACCATGAAAATCAAAACCACTTTTAATGTACTTTTTGTTTGTCTTACAAATGACTCCCCGTACGATTTTTTACAATAGTCCAACCAGTGGTCTAGTTTTTCTTTTGAAACAATTTTTCCTTTCATCCCGTTCTAAAGCAAACCTTCCAATATTTGGGTTTGAAAATACAAAAGAAATTCCTTACCACCAAACACAATACCCAAAGAATACTGTTGTTCTTTTGTGGTTTTACATGGACATACCAACGTTTTGCTGAGACAAATATAACTTAAAATCAATAATTTTAGTAAATGGTAACGTAAAATGAGAAAGGTACTTAAGGAAAGAGTGAGGCAAAGAGTGGATACTAGAAAAGCGGCGGAGTAACAACTATTAGCTCCAAGACAATGAATACGTGAAAGATAACGTGCTTCATAAATGCCAATTGCGCCTCCTGCATCCTTCGCAGCGTAAATAAGCAAAAAGAAAATTTCCAAATGCTTATATTGCTGTGGTAATTTAAATTGGTTTCCTCCGAAAGCAAAAACGCATGGTTTAATTGATCCCCTTCCCACGGCAATCAACCCAAGAGCGAAAAGGCAAAGATGTCTCGAAATGTCCTCTGAATATTGGACAGCTGATCCTGTCATCGTTGTTGTTCCAATGAGGTAAATAATTAGGAAAATGACAATTGTATAGAATTTTCCTATAAAACAATCGGCAAATAATGCCCCCAGTAAAGGACAACAGTAATTAAAGCTTCGAAAGCTGTGATACATAAGTGATGCTTCGTCTTTGCTGTAGTTTATGACGTTCTCCAAGTAGGATAATAAAGCCGCTGAAAGAATAAGTTAAAAATGGCAACTTGCGATTAAGTACCTGTGATTTACTTCGTAGTCCTACCAAACAGATATTTTTGATGAGTGACATTGCAAGAATCGCAGAAATTTGCTTCGGATATGTAAGTTTCTAGAAGGAATGTAAATGAAAACTATTTTTAAAAAAAGTGTGCTTCTTATACCTCTTGAGTATTACTCATGTTGTTTGAGATGATAAAAAATTAATATTCTAGCAGTGGTAAATTATGTCACGATTGCCAGGATTAACACAATTTGGCAGAAATATTGGTTGTTATGATATAGCTTAATCCATATCTGGTGGCGAACTGACAGTGACAGAGAAGACACTTGGACGGCGCCCACGTGGTTAAAATAAAAAAATGCATGGGCGTACTTTTTTTTCTCTAAAATTTTCTTAGCTGTCATTTGCAATAGTTTGCAATCGGATGATCGCAAATAAAGACCAATGTTTAAGTATGGAAATTCATTTAGATGTAATCGTTAATAAACTTATCATAAGCGACGATAGCAGCGATGAGAGCGATTATTGCTTTAGTGATTTTGAGGACAAGGATTGTTAGAAATATCATATTTGAAAAGTATTTTCATGCGTTAACAATTTAATAATTTGTTCATCATTCTTCGTCTTATGTATGAGTTACCTACTAATTATAATTTTTTAAAGATTAACAGTGGTTTTGAAATATTATTTAGTACGACGCGTATGAACAATATTTTTTTTAGTAGTAAACGTATATTTAGTGTAATCATTTTTGACAACGTCAGTTCGCCACCAGATTTGGAGCAAGCTCTTAACTGTGTATGAAAAAATAGAGTTCCTATATTAGAACTCAAGAAAAAATTAATATGACATTTTTTTTCAACTTTTTCAGACAACGTGATGATGATAATAGAATTTTATAGAGCTCCTCCCTAGTAAGCTATGGGCTGCCTATGGGCTAATAGTAAAGTTTATACAGGGTGATTTTTTTAAAACAAACGACCAGAAAAAATATTTCAGAAAAATAAATAAAAATTAAAAAATCCCGAGACGGGTTAATTTTTATTTACAGAGGGACATCTTTTAGTGTACTTTTTAAATTTTTATATACCGACAACCCTTTTAAAATTTAAAATAGCATCACCTCTTTTGCGATACTTTTTTTGAGTTTCGATTGTTTTTTAAAAGGTTACATGATTCCCAATTAAGTACTGGTAATACTGTTGTAGGTAGTATGAAATGCACAAAACAAAGTTGAATGTTTATTTTTAAACTAAAATTAAACTGACATTATCTGTTATGAAAATAGGGCATTCCATAAACAATACACAAAAAAAAGTAGAAGGTGTTCAAAATGGTCAGGTGGCAAGATTTTGTTTTGTGTAACGTAAATAAAAAATTCCCCAAACTCAAACAAAACACACAGTCGAATTCCTGGTCAAAATACTTTTTATTTGAGGCATCATAAAGGTGGTGGTGGCATTTAAAATTTTGAAAGAGTTGTTTGTATTACAAAGGGGTTGATGCTACAACTTTCAAAAGTACTCTAATATTTTTAATTTATAAAAAAAAAATTATGTCAAAAAAATTGTGTCAATTAAATCTTCGAGATTCATCGAATCAGATCCGCGGTAATTTAGCACACGGGCAAATTATTATCGATAATTTGCACACGTGTTGAATTATCGCGTAATTTGAATGTGATTGGATAAATGTCAGAAATTTGAAAGATTTTATTGGCTTAAATTTTGTAAGAGAAATAATCGGTAAAAATTCGTGTTTGGACGCATCAAGACCCTACCCCGTAGCCAATATTATACAAGCATATTGACGTCATGTCAGGTACATCGGAGAATTCTTTAATCGTACGACTAAAAATCAATTTGTTGTGTAAATTGTAAAGGAAGCAAAAATATCTTGAAATATTTTTTATATAGTTTCTTTTTTCTTTTTTTTCGTTTCTTTAAGTCCGGTACGACAGACGTGGGAGCTCAGAGATAGACTAAAGCTTTGCTTTCCAAAGAATTTAAGGATCTTTGAATTTTATTATGTTATTTTAATTCCCCTTATACTGACTAATAAATGTAGTAAAAAACAACGATATTTTTAAATCATTTATTAATTGTTGTTTTCCATATCTATTAAAAATATACATATATCTTTTATACATATTTACACAAATCGATTTGCTTATCAATAAATTAATTAATGAAGTACATTTTCTACTCCACAGGAGTAATATTAGACATCACCGTCGCCGTCGCTATGTTTGAAGGCTGGATTTTCGATGGCATTACTTTCTTTCTTCTCCAACTTTTTATCAAGTTCCTCGTTATCGCTGTTTTCTGTTTTCTTTATGTACTTATATCTCATTGCCATAAAAGCAAATATTATCATGTCCACAACCATCAAACCTGTGTATAGTAGAAAATCTGCCGACTAAAACCAAACGCAATTAATTTTACAACACTTTGCAACTGCTAAAATTATTAACTACCTGTTTTTCAAATATTTTAGCTGATTCAATAATGACGATTATAAGGTTACCAACGGCTGTAGTTAGAAGGAAGGCAGCTTGTAACACCGATTTCATGGAAATCGGAGCTTGGGAGTACGAAAATTCTAATCCCGTAATAGAAAACATTATTTCTCCTGCAGTGATTACCACATATTGCGGGATTAACCACAAAATGTGGACACTATTTGGTTGCGTAATTTCATAATATTCGACTTTCTACAATAAAACAAATTGAAATTTAAGTGTTGTTATAAATAAAAGTCTCACCTGCACTTGATTTAAGTCATTTAATGCCACCACAACTGTGTAAACCCCTCCAAGATAAAAGTTTAATTCTTTGTTGTATTTTTCAAGTTTATAAGTTCCAGGACTGATAGTAAACAAAGAGTTATTAGCGGCTGACATAGTTAAACCTTCCTTATCGGAATCCCAATAAGTCAAATTGAGGTCTGATTTTGAAGGATTCACCAAAGTCCGAATTTTCGGAAGCCCTTTCTCGTCCTTATCGATATTATCTACAAGTTTTGCGAATTCATTTGGCAGCATATAGTAAAGCAAAGCTTCTTTTTCAGTGATATTAAAATCACTTCCACTTGTGTAACTAATATAAGAGTCGCATCCTGTTATTTTGAAATCATAAAGTTTGCTTCCTTGAATACCATCGATGTCTAATTTTGTGTACCCCATTGATTTAATTTCTCGGCTTTCAATGTATGGCAGCACAGTCAGTTTTGCATCACATGGAAGCGGATTGTAGATTCTTATTTGGGCGTTTCCTTCCGTTGGCAATACAGGATACGTAGCTTCCAAAGCAAAAGAAACTCCGGCAGAAATTGCAAACGAAGCCGCTGTTAACAACCCTCCACACACCATCCGTTGTAGAGGTGTTTTGAGCAAGTTGCATTTTGCAAGTGCTGGATACAGGACGTAGGAAAACAACGGGATGAACAACAGTATCAAAAGGGGGTTGATTACTTGCATTTGGTCGGGTAAAATTGTGTAAAAACCAATGTAGCCATCCATTCTGGTTGCTTGAAACGTCCAACCGCTACCTTGTTGGTCATACAATGCCCAAAAAATGGGCAAAGGAATAAAAAGGACCAAAACTTTCAAAGTTATCTTGATATCGTCGACTAGAGTTTTACCGTATTTTGCTTCAGCACGATCCAACCAATGGTCGACTTTATCACTAGAGCGGAATTTTTGTTTAATTCCGTGCTACAAAAAAATCGCTTAAATTTTTTTGACTTTGAAAAAAGAAACTTACTCCAATGCATTTTGATACTTGGACTACAACATTTCCTTCGGGTTCTCTAATTTTATACAAGGGTTTACCAAGAACGAAAACGACTAAAATATCCTTCAGTTACGACAACAAAAGTTCATACGTTTATTATACCTATTGATACAATCATCAGTACTCCCGGGACAGCAAACGCAAGGGGGTAGCAACTATCCTCGCCAAAACAGTGCACATCTTCTCTCAAAACTGGTGTTAGAAACGTCGATATTAAACTTCCAGCGTTGATGGAAAAGTAAAACATTGAGAAGAAAGAGGCTAATTGGAGTTCTTGTTGAGGCAAAACAAACTGATCTCCTCCAAATGCTGATACGCAGGGTTTAATTCCTCCGGTTCCCAGTGCGATAAGTAGCAGACCGATCATGGAAAATGGTATTTGGGGTAAACCTATTGGTTCCGCGGAAGCTAAAGACAAAAGCACATTTCCACAAGCATATACTATCGAGACGTATAAAATCGTGCGGAATTTTCCTAGGAAACTGTCGGAGAGGATAGCCCCGAAAACTGGAAAGAAGTAGACGAACATGGCGAAGGTGTGGTAGATGATTTTGGAGTCGCTTTCGGAGAAGAGGAGGATGTCGCGTAAGTACAAGCTGAGAATTGCTAAAACAAGAAAAATGTTTAAATAAAAGTAAAGATAAAATTAAATGTTTTTTTTTTTTCTATTTCGGTGTTTGAATAAGTCTATTCCAGCACCCAAATGACGTCATTTGCGTGGTGGAATAAGTCGTTGGCGTTAATTTAATTTTAGTGACGGACTTTCTTCACAATTCATTTTCAAATGTGAAAATCAGAATTATTTTTATTTTTTACAGCCGCCTAAAATTATTCCAGATAAATGTCGCCAACCGTCGCAAAATTCTCTAGAAAAATTTTTTTTTTCGTTTTTTAATTTATAAATTGATATAAAGCGGCAAAATAGAAAAAATAGTATAAAGCACTTGTTGCAGAAGGTTCTTCAAGCACTCATTTGTTCCTCAACTCGCCGCTACGCGGCTCGTTTCGGAATTTCAAATTTGTACCTTCTGCAACTAGCAACTATTATACTATTCTGATTTTTCTTGTAGTAACATTACAAAGATTCCAATTTTATCTTGTCGGATAATTTAAAACTAAGAATTTCTTTAGGAATTTGACAATTAAACGTTTATTACTACGAAAGTTACTTTAACTTATTAACAATTCGGTATTTTCCCTTTTTTTAAGTCAAGGATTTGCTTTTTCTACTTTCTCGATACTTACTTCGCATGCCATAGTAGCTGAACCTTTCGCAGAATTCATTGCTGACAATGAAGAATACTGATTTTGGATATGGTACAGTCTAGAAAAAAGTTAAAATAAATAAAAAGGCAACTAATTTAACACTTTTTTAAATTAAAACAATAAGCATAGAAACTTATAAAATCCCAAAAAACCTTGAATTTTTTATGACTATTTGTTAAATGGAATTATCTGTTGTTATTGATGACCACACGAATACCCATTGTTGTAATCATTGTGAGACTGCAAGTTGTAGAGTCAAGGTTAGTGGGTTATTTATGGTTAATTTCCTAGTTGAGGACTGTAGAAATTCAAAAGGGCACTTTTAATTAAATGCATCGTAACAATGATCTGTTCCTTTAAATTGGAAGGAATTAATTTTTATGACGTTGGTATTTATAAACTTAAAGGATTCAAATAAATTCTTACAGGCAAAAAACTGGTTTTAGGTGAAAATTTCCTACATTATAAATTATTTATAATAACTAATTTTTGGCTAACATAACAAGAATAGTCAGCAACAAAATAAATTTGTATTACACTAATAATTTAATCATGAAACTTTTTTTCATCTCTCCAATTTTAAAGAAGTAATTTCACCAGATCTTAAAAATCGTATCTATACAATTATTGGGATGTATTTGCACATGTTTTCTACCGAATAAAATAAATCAGAAATAAAATGCTTACCTATAAACAAAAATAATACAAATTGTGATTAAACTTATAGTAGGTATTTTATAAATTTTTGATATTTTTGATACCCCGTCCAGAAACACTCGGCCCACAAACCTCACAAAATGAAAGTTTCTGGCCTTATGATACAAATAACTATTTGAAGAAAATAATTTCTATTATGTGTGTATTCTATGATTGTATTATGTACCTACTCATTAAAAAAAAATGGAAAACAGATTTTTGTCCTCCTCTTCGTTCCAAGAAGCATTCAAGATGAATTTCAATTGGACTTTGTATTCAAATCATCATGATTCATGACGTTCATAAGCGTAGACATAAAAGGTTTTGTTTTGTGTTACCGAAAGCAAAATTCTGAAGAGTAATGTGTGCAGAATATTTGTATTATTTGCGATCTTTTAAAACGTTACTAACACTAATAATTCTTAGTTGTTATCTCCGACATTTAACAATGTCGCAAGTAACGCTTTTATTTTTGTTTGTCCTCTAAAAAGCTTGTAATTAATGATCATTAGTAATTATTTTATAAATAAATACTGCAATAACCATGATCCCTGGTATGTTTTTATTGTGTAACAGTTCCGGTGTGTTGTTACTGGTAACATTAACGCAAAATTTAATTTTTATAACAAATTTCGAAAGTATATCTAATGTAAAATAGAGTTAGGTATAATTTATGTAAATTAAGTACAAACTGAATATGCATGTTTTGCAAATAAATTGTTAAAAATTATCAAATACAAAACATTGTAATATCGCTTTGTCAAGTTTATTTATAAAAATTGTGTAAAACGTTATATGGGGTAGGTACCCATTTTTTAGTGCAATAAAAAAATGTTTAGGTACGTATATTCTGATCTACCAGCAAGACTAAGGCCAAAAGTACGAGTATATGAACATTTCTTTTCCAGTATACAGTAATAAGATTTTAAATCTGATAACATTAATAAAAATTAGTTTTCCAATGAAATTAATTGTTTGTTATTTTATTTCTTATCAAAGCGGAAGGACTACAATAAGTCATTAATTATTGAATGCTAAAATATTATAAATATAAGATAATTTATTACCAAATAGAACTTTTGAGAATAATTAATGTAATAAAAATAAAATTTATTATAAAAACAATGGATTTTTTCTTTAATTTAGTAATAAGCTGAACATGACTCTTTACTAATTTATGCAATTTCACATTCTATGTAATTACAAAAAATAATAATAATATAAAAAGAGGTGTCAAGTTTTAATCAAAATTCAATAAGTAGGAGAACCGTCATTTCATTTAGAATAGGAATCCTAGTTAGAACGATCTCGTTTGTTATCAAAAAATAAATAATATTTTATGGTTTTCAAAAAATTCCAAAATCGAACACAAATATCGTGTGGTTCGTCTTTTATTAATTAATGATTTTAACAATGTTTACACAACTTTACTCAAAATAATGTTTCTGAATTATATTTATTTAATAAGTACCTACATCGTTTTGATTGAAGAGTTCGAATAATTTTCGCAACACACTGGAATTAATTTAAAAGTTAATTACTTACAGCAATCTTAACAATTTCTTGCAACTTTTACTTTAGACAACTTTTTTCTTATTTCAATTTTATAGAGTAAGAACAAAAAGTTTCGCAATAGACACTACCTATCTGCGAAGATTTACTTTTACTATACCTCTTTATTGTGTCTGGGAAGAAAATAAATAATTATTAAGGTAAATTAATCATTTAGTTGACTTTTACTAATTTGCCTACCAATAAATATTTACTAATTTGTCAGTTAAAGCAGCAACGTCGAACTGAAGAAATAAACAAACAAATTTTAGCGGATTGAAAAGTAAATAATATAATTAACACACTTAATTTTTACCTTTTCTTCCTTGATGAAACCCATCTTAATCACAATATTTTATCAAAAATCAATCACAGTTGTTGCAAACAAACATTATACAAGTGGAATTTAAAATTTGCAGTCTCTTATCATGATTCACTGAACTGAGAAACTGTTGCATGTAACGTTTTAAATTGTCAACGTACTAGAACATTTAGATTGAAATGTGTTTCAGTGTGTCAAACTTTCGTTCTGTCGAAGTGTACAAATGCACGCGCACTGACAAACCGCGACCGCTTAATAACAATGAATGAACGAAGAATGCGAATGCTGTGATATCTAGTGACAGTTTGTAGTAATGGTAAATTGGTGAGGGAATTATCTGGTCGGTTTACCAGCGATGCTGAACCGATAATACTGAAAATCTTGACAGTGGATAATTGAGATAATGACCCTAAGGTATGTAATTTATCGCTGGACGGAGAAGTTAAACAAGAAAAAAAATTCAATGATCCAATTTGTATTAAAATGCGGAATGATGGGTTTGGAAAGTTGCAATAGCGTGAGTACATATTCTACAGGTGCAAAAATCTGCAACCTTTATCGCACGACCTTTCAAGGTGGTGCTTAGACAATTATCGTAATTTTGTTTTGCAATTAAAAAAAAATAAAGACTTTATTTTCATTCACACTTGAAATTGTTTATTTTATGCCAGTTGTTAAGCACTGTATTACGTAAAGCTGAGATTAACCTGCTTGATCGTATCTACAACAATAAAAATAGGAATAATACATTTACTATTATAATGTATAGGATTAATTCATATTTTGAAGGTGCTGTATCCTCGTAAGTTATAAGATATGAAGTAAATAATCATTGTATAAAAGACATAAAAATTTTAGATGATAAAATGTTTTAAAAAATGCCAGGAAACAAGGACAGGGTCGTTATGTGAATACTAAAAAAATTCAAAAACAAAATGTCGTAAAATGTAAATCTTTTTAATAAGCAGGTTACGATGTAGTTGAAGTTAATTTGACTTTTGCTTGCTTTGTTTTTGAAATCATTTTTGTTTTATGCAACATTCAACGTACAGAGTGAATAAAAAGTATAGAACCCAACGTTTTTTTGCTTATTAAACTATTTATTTTTTGACTAAAAACTAGTTAATGAATGAATGATAAAGTAGGTAATATAAAAATGTGACGTATTATCAAAAATAAAAGTTTTCAAAATATTCTTTCATTTTTGAGTTCTGCAAAATTTTTAATTTTTTTAAATGGCCCCCCGTTATAACTCTTTTTTTTACAAAGCCTATTATATAACTATCTACATTTTTATTAAAACGTGTGTTGTAAGAAAGATTGTAAATTCAAACCAACTCATTCAAAAAATATGGTATCTTATTCTTCTCTAGATAATATTCAAAAAGTTATAGATAATTTATTTCTTAATAAGAAAATCGACGAATTATTAAACGGTTTGTAAGTATACGAATACAAAAAGATGATACCCGTGATTATGTACCGATATTAATTAATAATTAAAACATGGTACTCCAAAAATTTAATTTGTTTAAGCATTATTACTAATTCACAGGTAGTGGAAGTGTGTTTATTTTCCTTTGGGTTCAAGGTGATAACTTTAACGCATTTTATTTATTTATACAAAATAATTTAAATTTTATATCTAATTGGCAGTACACTATATAGTTTACACAATAATATAAATATTTAAATTAGTAATCACAAATTAGAGTTTTTTCAATCCACAGGATCAAAATTTAGTATTTTCTTCCGATGATTTACTTAGTTTCTTTTCTGACTTGTTTTCATCATTTTCTTCTTTATTTTCTTTATTTCCACTGTTATCCACATATTTATAATTTTTAGCCATAAAAGCGAAAACAATCATATCTAACACCATCAAACCTGCGAAAAGAAAGAAGTCATACGACTAAAACAATTGAAATTAATGATAAAACTCCAATTTTTTCAAATTCGTACTTGTTTGTCAAAAATTTTCGCTGATTCTATAATAACAATAATGAGATTTCCAAAAGCACTTGTTAAAAGGAAGGCAGCTTGTAAAACTGATTTCATTGACTCTGGAGCTTGAGAATAAGAAAATTCGTAGCCAGTAATTGAAAACAGAATTTCACCCATTGTTATTATAAAGCTCTGGGGAAGCTGCCAAAGGATGTGTAGATTGTTGTGTTCAGTAATCTCGTATAATTTCGATTTCTAATAAAATAAATAATTTGATAAAAAGGTAAGAAAAATTTGAATGATTTCTACCGCAATTTTTCCATCAACATTCAAGTAAGCCAACATGGTATAAACACCACCCATATTAAATTCATATTCGCTGTCTCCGAATTTGTAAGTTCCAGGATTTATGGACTGGAAGGAGACGTTGCTGCTAAGGAACTTCAAGGCTTCGTCATTTCCATCATAGAAAATCAAGTTAATGTCCTCTTTTGGGTTGTACACTAAAGTCCTGAAATAAATGAAACATAATCTGCTAGTCAACAAAGCAAAAACTAGCTACAAGCATCCTTTAGATTAAAACACTTTAATGTCATTGTTGTATTATCTCAACATAATTTTGAGAATTTTATTTTTAAACAAAACGTAAAAAGATTGCAACATCTCTTAGGTTTTTTACCTTATTTTTGGAATCCCATCCTCCGGTTTGCTGATATCATCTTTAATTTCCAAAAATCCAGTTTTAGTGATGTACAATACGTAACCCTCTGCTTCACTGACATTGAAACTGTTTCTAAAATTTTTTCCGTCAAAAGTGACCTCATATTCTAAATTTTCATGACCGTTCAACTCCAATTGGGCAAATCCATAGCCCATTGGGTTGAGTGATGTAACATTAACATCAGAATTATTAACATTGAGAATAAGAGTCGTATTATAACAAGGGTTGTAAATTCTCAATTGGCAGTTACCATCGGATGGTAAATCAGCGTCTCCACCTTCCACCGCCAGAGAAACACAAGCGGACACTGCAAAGGCAATCGCCGTCAAAAGACCTCCATAAACCATCCGCTGGAGAGGCGTTTTAAGAAAGTTTATTTTGGCGCAAAGTGGGTATACGACGTAGTTAAACAGTGGAATAAAAATCAAAATTAGCAAAGGGTTCACGACTTGCATTTGGTCGGGTAGGATAGTGAGAGAGCCGACCCTTCCATCCATTCTTGCCGCTTGGAACGTCCATCCACTCCCTTGTCGATCATAACAAGCCCAAAAAATAGGAAGTGGTACATAAATAACCATCACTTTTAAGGTAGCTTTGATATCTTCAATCAAACTGCGGTCAAACTTATCCTCCGAGTGTTCCAACCAATGGTCAACTTTTTTGTCCGATTTCCAATTTTTTTTTGCTCCGTGCTGAAAAAACACTTTCAGAAATCTGTATTTTTTTTAAATGCCGGACATACCCAAATGCATTTCACTACTTGAACGAGAACATTGCCTTCTGGGTTTTTTATTTTATATAGTGGCATTCCAAAGAAGAAAATTACTAAAACACGTAGAATTATTTTGTTGGTAAGCTATTGGGGGTAATTCTTACAAACTGACAAAATCATGAGAACTCCAGGGACGGCGAAAGCGAGGGGATAGCAACTAGTCTCTCCAAAGCAGTGTACGTCTTCTCTCAGGATAGGTGTTAAAAATGTCGATATCAAACTTCCGGCATTGATCATAAAATAAAACACCGAAAAATAGGTCGCTATTTGAAGTTCTTGTTGCGGAAGTACAAACTGGTCACCTCCGAAAGCCGCTACACAGGGCTTTATACCCCCAGTGCCCACTGCTATTAGGAATAGAGCGACTAGTGAGAATGGTATTTGGGGAATGTGTAAAGGTGCTGCAGATGCTAAAGCCAACAGGATATTTCCTGCTGCATAAATTATCGATACGTATAAAATAGTCTTGAATTTTCCCAACCAATTATCAGAAATAATAGCTCCAAGTAAAGGAAAGAAATAAGCAAGCATTGTAAAAGTGTGATAGATGATTGTTGAATCTCCTTCACTATATAACAAAATGTCTCTGAGGTAGAGACTGAGAATTGCTAAAAATACAAAACTGTGTCAAGTCTTCCCGATTTTTGGTATTACTTACTTCGCATGCCATAATAGCTGAACCTCTCGCAAAATTCATTACTTATGATAAAAAATACAGATTTTGGGTAAGGAATACGCTAAAAAATAACGAGTTAGAATAATATTTCACTTGTGTAAAGTGTGTGAATGCTATTTTATACACTACCTGAATTTGTGTATGTGTTTTGAGTGTGTCTATAATAACCTTAAATGAAGAAATTGAAAGAAAAGTTCAGACAATTTTTAGCTTAAGATAAATAAGTATAAGTAGTACATATACGTGCAAGAAAGAGAAAAGCAAAGATATTTTTTTGTAAAAAAGAAAAGCTTAAGTAAACTTATTTTATTTCATTCGTAACAAAAGAAGTTAATTTTTTCCATCAGGAACATGTTTTGCATGGTGATCTACAATCTACAATTTACAATTAGCAAATAAAGTCATTGGTATTGGATAAAACATTGAAGTGATGAAATGCAATTCACTTGTTGACCGGGTAAGGTTACGATTACAAAATATGCATAAATGTAAATTTTCATGGCAAAATTTCCATTTCGTTAAAAACAAATTGCTTTTGTACACTCACTGTTGATATCGTAAATCAGGGTCAAACTGATAAAAAAAATAAAGCATCATACTTCTCGTAGGTATATCATAGGAATATTTCGTAATATTTTAGGCAATAACAGAAAAAGGAAAAAGAAGGAAAACGCAAAAAGAGTAAAGCCAGATAGCTGGATAGCTTCCAAGAAATAGGCGTTTGGGTCTTTAACCAATTTTAAAAAAATTACTCCATTTAGTTTTATGCTTATAAAATTAAATAAAGAACCATACGCCTATCTTCAGTTGTTAAGTAAGACATGAAGAAATTTAAAAGATGATAGTTAACCCTTTACCAAAAATTACAGTTATATACTTACATTTTTATTATTTGGTAGAAAAAGGAAGTTCTTTTTGAACAGCTTTTTATACTTACACTTTTAAAGAAATAATAAACTTTACTGAGGATCTTGCTGGGTCACAAAAACACATATCCAATATGACAGAATTACAAAGATTGATGATTGACTTGCTTAATTAAAATTTGCGTCCAACTTATTTTAAAACAGCAGTGACTAATGGATATCAATATAACTAGTTGAAATTACCCAAGTATAATGTAATGAGTATACTACATACTCGTAGATAAACTTATTATACATGTATGAAAT